TCTATTGTGACTTCACAAATTGTAATTATATAGTGATCAGTATGCGCCTGTAAACAGTCACTGCTGGTATTTATCAGTTAGACAGAGTTACCATAGGATGTAACAGCAGGGTCCTGCTATTTTTGTCCCTCTAGCTGTAACTGTTACCAGTTATTTTGTCCTCATAATTTTTGTAAATACTGGGCCAAATTCTCCAGTAGGTTACTCTGGACTTACACCAGTGGAACTGATAGATGAATTTTCTCACACTCCCTCCAGCTGTTGCAAAAACGTAAATTTTCTTTAAAGGTTGGCTGATAAACGAATATACCTACAATACAATGCAAACAAAAAACTCCAGAAAAGAGCCTCTTACAATGAAGTCTTTCCTGTCAAAGTGGAATCCTTTAGGAAACATTACAATTTGCATACTGCAATGCACTGACACTCACTAAATAACTTCAGTATACCAGAATTTACTATAAGCAGGTTCAAATGCATTCTAATAAAATACTATGCTTTGCTAAAATGGATTAAACAAATCACAAACTAGACTTACTGAGTCTGACATCTCTAAACTGGTGAAAAATCTAGGCCAGTGGTTCTCAAACTTTTGTACTCGTGACCCCTTTTTACACAGCAAGCCTCTGAGTGTGACACTTTTATAAATTAAAAACACTTTCTTTATATTTAACATTATTATAAATGCTGGAGGCGGTGCGGGACTTGGGGGTGGAATCTGACCACTCAGGAACCCCCCATGCAATAACCTTGCGACCCCATGAAGGGTCATGACCCCCAGTTTGAGAACCCCTGATCTAGGCTGTGGGCCCAGAAACAGCTGCCAACCTTGAATTAATCTAATCAGAACTTTATTAAAGCACCAATGTACTTTTGGTGTTTTCACTGAATGCTAGAATTGACCATTTGGTAAATGCCATCTTACAGAAAAACAGTGTTTGACAGGAATCAGTACGACGGGGCTGTTACATGAGAACAAACATTTGTTTAATTAGTACAAGTGGTAAAGATTAGAGAAAAAAGGGAAAATCTGTAGTAAAGATGGGGACAATACAAATTCCCTTCTAGTAGAACTATCTGTACTTGTTTTTTGGTGGATTTTTTTTTTTAAATATTGTGAGTTCTCTCTCAGTCAACAAACTCAACTTGTTGCTGCAATTGGGAATAATTCTTTTGGCTTTCCTACCCACTAAGTTGACTACACTTCCCTTAAGGTATAGTGTGAAAACTCACTAAAGGGCAACTAAATGTAGCAGAAATACAGCCCAAGGCATTTGAAGTTTTAGGCTTTTCTATAACTGACATTTCTGACATTGACTTTTAGATAAAAATGGAGACTAAAGTGTAATGAATAATGTACACTCAGCCTTAACTGGAATCTGCTCAGTTACATGCCCCAGTATCTTTACGTTTGGTTGCCTCCCTGGCATGAGGCCAAAGTCAGTTGCAATGACAAAATCTGGAAATGATACTGTGACATTAGGAATACTAAAAGGCTAAATATGGGACAAACTAGCAAAATACAACATTGAAGTTAATTAAAAATCTACATGATTAATCTAAATCTCCTTATGTAGCATAACCTCCTTAGTGATTCAGACAGTGCTCAAGTATTGGCAGGCAAGGAGATATCAGGTATATGGGACTAGCAGGACTGTCTCACATAGCAAGACAGAAGAGGAATGCTTCACTGGCACCATTAAGTACCATGTTTGCTTGCAAAAATTATACTCTCGTGTTATAGTAGGGCCATCTCTGCATATTAACATCTCAGATTGTTGATAACTCATTGATTGTTACGATAGTGACAAACTTGTTTCTCTGCTTTTAACTCAAAATCAAAATAATAGTTTTTAAACAGCAAAACCCCACAAAAAATTAAAAACCATCTCTCCATTTGTGGAGGTGAAAGCATGAGTGCTCAGAGTCCATCTGCCTCATTATTTCTGTTCTTCATGGTAATCCCTCTAATTGCCTGTGTGTCAAAAATCTCTCCTTTGTATCCCCTTTCTGAAATAGACTAACCATCCCTGAGATACTGTCTTAAGCACTTTTTCATTACAATTAGATGAAGAGTCTAATACTTGTTTCTTTTCTTCATATGTGAAAAAAAAAGCAGACACCAGTTCTCGGAACCAGTATTATCTATCCCAATACTGATGTACCCTAGTAAGTATCTTAGGTTTTTGACCATGCTTAAATGTGTATGAAACTGCTGTGTGTATATGTTGTGCTTTGATGTATTTACTCAGTTAAACCAAGATACTGGAGACTAAGAAAATGACCTCAAATATGGGACAAGGCAGAGTTCAATCAAGGCAGAGTTCATCTGCAGCGGAGAGGAGAAAGGCCTTGAAGGGTCCGAGAAGGAAGCTATGTTTTAAACTTTGAAAGCAAAAACATATGTGCACTTTGGTGCTAGCATAAGTTGCATACACCAAAACTAGATGTGAAACTAGGATTTGCACTCATGCAAACCTCACTTCTGATGTGCATTGGGTATTTTGCACACATACTCCTACACTTTAAAAATCTGGGTTTGAATGCTTTGAAAATACAGAGGCCACTTGGTGCATTTTAGAAGAAGAGGGGAGGTGGAAAAAAGGTTGCTTTGTTCACAAGTATTGTTATTAGCTAAGGATAAAAATCATCTCCAGCAGAAATGGTTTAGCTATATCCAGAGAGGAATAAACTCCTCCAGAGGCAGGGAAATCCGACCCCTCCTTGTCCCTTTCTCACACACACACACACACACACACACATCAATATCCCTTCTTCAGTTCAGACACTGAATATACCTACACTCTCCTAGTCAAGTATATGTTAGAAGATAAAAGGCTAATATCTGCTTAGTTATACTCATGCATGCACCCCAGTGTAACTGTGAGTAGAACATGACCCCCAAAGGGGATTTTTTGCACATTAAAAAGTAAATAATGTTGTCTGAGATTGATTATACTTGTGTATGGGCAAAACCCCTAACGTTCCCCAGTCAAGCTGCTCCTTAAACTGTTGGTCTGAACTATCTTGGAAATGTTTCACAGTAACAGCCGTGTTATATCTGTATTCGCAAAAAGAAAAGGAGGACTTGTGGCACCTTAGAGACTAACCAATTTATTTGAGCATAAGCTTTCGTGAGCTACAGCTCACTTCATCGGATGCATACTGTGGAAAGTGTAGAAGATCTTTTTATACACACAAAGCATGAAAAAATACCTCCCTCCACCCCACTCTCCTGCTGGTAATAGCTTATCTAAAGTGATCACTCTCCTTACAATGTGTATGATAATCAAGTTGGGCTATTACCAGTGGGGTGGGGGGAGGTATTTTTTCATGCTTTGTGTGTATAAAAAGATCTTCTACACTTTCCACAGTATGCATCCGATGAAGTGAGCTGTAGCTCACGAAAGCTTATGCTCAAATAAATTGTTTAGTCTCTAAGGTGCCACAAGTACTCCTTATCTTGGAAATGCAACACTGGTAAAAACACGTAACTGGCCTTCTTTGCTCTCTATCATCCATTCAGTGTCATAAATGGCCAGGACATTCCTTATCCCATTTGCTGCTGCAATACACATCTCCTCATACAAGGTAAAGGAAAACTTTTGACCAATTGGTTGTTATTGCTGAAGACTCCATATCGGATGCTGGAACCAAATGGAACCAGATCTCTTAGTTCTTTTATCCAAACCTATACAGTAGTTTGAACTTTGCTTTCACCAACTATGGACATTTCCCAAGTCAGCTTGACTGACATTTTGTGACATTCCAAAGCTAGTCAGTGCACTCAACTCCTAGTGAATAACTCCAAGAGCTGTGGATACAGCCAAAATAATCAATGCAAAGAGAAGAGTGTTTACAAGTCTGAATGTGAAGGAGGCCCATGAGCAGGAGGTTAAGCAGAGAAATGGGGTATCAGTCACTGAAACTCAACGGTCTTTCTGCCCTCATGAAATAGTAAACTAGGTCCATTACCTGCAATTCTCCATGGGTCTTACTGTGGGAGACAGTACCCAGGATTGAGATTAAGAGAAAGGTGGATGGGGACAGAAGAAAATATCCTTATTCACAATGCCAATGCTAGTCTCTTCACAATGTACTGAATGTTGACATTCTGGCTCTTCCTTCTGTGCATACTGGATTTTCCATACAGAGTAACTTTAAACCAACTGCATTTGGAAAACAGTAATGGTCATATGGAGTTCATGCGAGTTTTATACAACGTCATAAAGTAACAAATTAACTAACTCAATTCACGTGCGTTCATTAAAGATCTCTCTCTCTAAGCATTACTAAAAACCCTGTGACTGTAGTGTCCGGGCACTTGGTGTTACACTGAAGCATCTGTAGCTGAACTGGTTCTAAGTCCTCTATCAGCAGCATTTCCTGTACCCTAAGACTCACTTTTATTTTTCTTTCTTATTTCTCTCCCTTTCTTTAATATTTTTAATATTCTGTTTTCTATTTTCTTGTTTAAACATATGACATATTGATCTTGCAAAGCACCCAAAATACCAAACCTATTTGTCAGAAAGTATACTTAAATATGCACTTTTCAAATACCTACAGGCCTGGCTTCCAAAACAGTATGTTTTATTATGGAGGCACTGTTGGCACCCATAACATTTAAGGTTGCGTTGACTTTTGCTCTTAAAGCAGGGATTCAAACTCTTTGTTTTATATGAAGAATATAATGTATCCCCTAAACATACAATACGTAATCTTTGAGTAGAGAATGAAGTTTCTGAAATGTAAAAGTTAACTGTATCAACATATTTTAAATTGTGATAATATTTCATAAGAGCAATCGCTAAGGAACTTTACCTTAAATACAGATAGATTTGGTCATCATTCTTAAGATCAAATATTCTTTCCCTCTATTTGACTAAGGGAGCAATCAAGTGTTTCAGTGAATCACATGCTGGCTTCAAAAACTCTCTGATGTGTAATCCATTTTACTGTTTTGTATTAGATATGAATTAAAAGACAAAATACTTGCATTATCTTAAATAATCTAGAGAAAATGTATTTCAAAAAGTATCTTGAGTCAAAAAGTAGCAAATCAATGTATGTATTTTCCATATTTGTATAGTTTTCATTATATTTTTGATCTGTTACTCTCAAGTCTCTTTCATATTTAAAAAATGAACTACACACCTATCATGCAAGATGTAAAGAAGTATGTTCAACTAGTTCAAATTAGATATACAGTAAAAATACACTTCCAAAGAAATATCATTTCCATTTTTGTTCATGTTTTTAACAGAATTTCAGACTAGTACATCAAATGTGGAACTGTACAAGTATGTGAAGAAACATTAGGATTGCAGTAGTAAAAAAATGTACAGCATTCAAAACCAACAAGCTCTAAACAACTGAACAATACCACAGGATTGAAACAATCATGGGGACAACATAGGTCATTGGAGACAGTGAATGAATCCGAATGTCCCTACATAAAGGCCCTATATAGAATATTGTATCTTACTTATATGCAAAATCCCTGATTTGATTAAACCAGACAATTGATTTAATTGCCTGTTTTAGGTTTTAGATAATAGAAACATGAGATTATTCCCCTCCATAAATCTCAGTTATTGAAAAGGCAATATTGAGAACTGATTTCAAAGATGTGGATTCAGGTAGTTAAAACAAAATATCAAAAAAATAAAATACCAACCACAACCAGCACCTCTCTTCAAATTGTTAACAACTACATTTTGCTGCATTACTATTGAATTTAATAGTAAGTTTTTGAAAACCATTTTGTTTATATAGGAATACACAGGTTTTTATTTATGGCCTGTATCCATTTCATATTGGACCAACATTGCCTTTTAAATCAAGAAAAGATCCAACTAAAGCATTTAACAAAAATAAAATTCCCAAGGTAATTGACAATAAACAAAACACCACATACAGCAGAATATCTGTGTGTGAACACCCTTTTCAAAAGGTAGAAACATACTCTTTAACAATCCACTAACCAATATTATTTCCTTTTTAGACATCTTTGCTATGGGGTATCTAGTAAAGTTTGCTAATTCAACCTGCAGGTTTTTTAAAAAAAACACATGTATTTGTAAGTGTGTACAAATTTAATGAACTATGTTAAACTGTTTGTCTTTTAGGGATGGAAATACATCCCCCTTCACAAATCTTATCCAGTCATGATTTCCTATGGGGACTTCCTTGTTTCTCAGATTATTCATCTTTATTTACCAGAACTGAAGAGCAAGAAAGGTTAATAAATATTTTGAATACGTCAGGGTCCCAGTCTCACAGTCCTTGTGCACCCAGATCTCTCACTGACCTCAATGGAAATTTGGCATGCACAAGGTCTGCAAGCTTTCAGCTGAGAAAGCTTTATAAATATAGCATTTCAAAAACCAAAACACTGTTTGCACGGAACCCTGGCCTAATGAATCATCTTCAGTACACTGAGAGGAGCAAAGAACACGAATCTTAGCACCTATCTTGCTGCTAGTTCAGAATAATCTTTTGCTGATTTCAATCCTATGGGAGCAACAGAGCAGTTTTTACTAAGTCAGCCACATACAACCTAACACATCTGACTGAAAAACCTTGCAACAAGATTGAAAAGAAACAACCTTATATATGGTACATACAGCTCAAAGTCTGCATTAAATAAACCATTGGGAAAATAGCATACAGCATTCTAACTCAAATGTAAACCTTGCTGAGGTATACTTATTTTTTCCTTAAAGAATGAAAGACTATCTTTCAAAAAAAAGGGAGAAAGAGCTCACAGCACAAATGATATTCAGAAGAGCACAGATCTCACAACTGGAGAAGGAATTAAATTAAATTGAACAGGTCCATTATGGTTTAAGGAATAGCCATTTTTATTAGTATCCATAACAATATATTCTTACCTGCTTTTTTATACCTTCAAACCATTAAAAAAGGCCATATATGTTTGTGAAACATAGTTTTGTCTCAATGTTATCTGCCAATGTTTTAAATTAATCTAACAAATACTTTTTCTTTGTTTTTAGGGGACAACATTACCCTGTGTCTGTCTCAGAAATAGGTTGATCATGGCCACACTGCTTTCAAATGCCTGGCTTGCCCTCTCCATAAAATAGGACAGACGCCTTTGGTTGCATAAAAGCAGTATTTGTTTCCTTTTCAATGTTAACTGAAGTTAAATTGAGTTTCAGCAACAAAATTAAGCAGTATGTTTGTGTAAATTTTAACATTCAATAACAATTTTAGTTTCAACTAACAATTATTTATTTCTCTATAACGAAAATATCTAGACCCTGTTATACAAATTTGATTTTTCACCTATATATTTAGGAATCAGGAGGCAGATGTGTATCGTATTTAGAGTTTACTCTAAGCAGATACTGTATTTGATGTGCAATTTTCTAATCAATTTAAATACAGTCAGCCTACCTGCACTGTGAAATTAATGCTAAATGTAACTGCAGCTGTTACCAAGTAGTTTCCACAAGTGGTTTTATTACTGGTTAGATTTTACAAATTCTGATATTCAAACAGACTTTCACCTTAAAATTCTAAAACAACAAAGCAACCAATGAAGGGCATAGGACTATTCAAAGTAACAAACTCTTGTAACATTTTTGCCCTTGTTATAAATATACAGAGAGAAAAAGAGAAAAATGGACATGTAATCCAAAGTACGTAGATAAAACAGTATATAAGGCACATGGCAGTCTTTGAAAATTACAGAAGCTTTAGCCAACTTAAATTAATTGCTGTTTCCCTTACTCAGTCCACAAAACTGTACAGTTACACAAATGTTGTGTTGCAGATAGATCTTCCAAGTTATTCCTCAGTCCATAATCTGTAATATCAGAACAATACATTTCCTTCTGTTTTCAGGAGAGATCCTAAGTGTGGTTAGTCAGTTGCTCAAAGCCTCTATTAAAATACTCTTGGAATTTAACTAAGAATAATTTCTTTTTTAAAGAAATTATTGAGAAAGAGTCATCAGAAAAGATTTGTGAGAGTTGTCTGTGAAGGACTTCGAGATTCATGAACCTCAAGACTTCCGGGTACTGACGTCAAGACAGATGTCACAGTAGGCATGGTAGGGTTAGTCAAGTCTGTTAAGGTAGTGGGAGTGCTGGATGGACTCATGGAGGCGTTGGATATTTCTGAGGCGGGTCCTGATGGAGTTCCTGCTTGGAGTGTGGAATCTGAAGTCTTATCCACCCCTGTGTTTTCTTGACGTAAGAGGTTCCGTCTGAATTTGGCTCGGGCGTTTTGAAACCAAACCTGAAATAATTTAATATAATAGGGTAGCATTTAAAAAACAGCATTTTTTTAAAAAAGCAAAAGACACAAATTCAATACAGTCTCAATTAGGTGTATTCTTTTATTGACTGCATATCAGTGGAACAGCTCACTTTGCTACAGTAACTCCACAGGTTGTGTGTCCAGTTGTGTGAAGTATTCTCTGCTTAGCATGTAAAGCATTTCTGTCTGGCTTTCCCACATTTCTCTAAGTAAACAGACTGTGCACTGGGATATGAAGAGGACTGGGGATGGAGGAGAGGAATCTTGCTTTCCAGGCAATGGAGAAAACCGTCTTAGGGCTTCAGTAGCCGCTGTGGTTCTTGCACCTACCCCCAGCTCCTGAGAAGTATTTGTCAGGATTGGAGCGGAACTGATGAGACAATGTGTATAATCTTAGATCCAGCAGTGCCAGCCATTTTTTGGTCCTCCATCCCTCCTCCCATCGTGCACTGCAAAGGATGTAGAGCCTGTGCATGGCATCCTGCCCTTCCCCTCGCCCCAAACAGCTCCTCTACAGCTCCAGAGGTAGCAGAACTTTCCCCTCGCTCTAAAAGATTTGCCACTCTTTCTCCATGAAGCCTTCCTCTCTCCACCCCAAAAGTGTTTTGGATTCACTCCCCGCCCCAGCCTCTCTGTAAGGTGTTTTCTCATTCTTGTTATGAAGGTATACAAAACAATCTGTATTGTACTAAAACATAATTTTAGAAGCAACAAAATCAATGTGCAAAAAGTGTATTTATCTGTATGTAGCTAGAACTATATTTATCTCCTGTATTGTCTAGCTACTATCTTTCTGTCGATGACTGAGAGACAAAAGCGGCAAAGTTCATTTCCTAAGGCTAAATTGCTGAGGCTTCTCTCCAAAGGTAATAGTGTCTGTCCCATTCCTAAAGGGTTAGTTTTAAAATAAAATACTCTGCTAGTTTATCTCAAATTAAATATCAGTACAAATATATTAAACCCCAAGAATATTTCTATCAAATCCAGGTACAGAGACATATCTCTATTAAATTTTAAAATGGCATTAAAAGTCCTGTGCTCACGCTGATGCAGGCAGATACCGACCTTTTAATACCAGACACTCAGACATTACTGGGATAATATATCGCCTGGCTCTGATCTTACAAAGTGAAGCCCGACTATTTAGGTACCACAGGGTCTCAAGTCATTGTGTTTTATCACCTTTAACTGACTCTGTCTTGCTCTCACTGAGCTCACACTGACTTATTTCAAAGTGAGCAGCATCAGTCCCTGTCAGTCTAGGTGCAGAGGGCCTTATCGTTCTTTCTGCAGGAAGTCTCACAGAAGGGGGCTAAGAGAGAGGAGATATCGGTAAGGGTGTCCTATCACAACTTTCTGCAAGATGGTCTGTTGTGAAAGAGGGGGTGTGCAGAGCCCAGGGGTCCAGAAGGAAGACAGAGCCATCCACACAGAAGTCTTATGTGTCCCCGCAACTCCCTAACAGTATGGTCCTGCTGCAACTTGGGCAACCCTGGGAATCCCCTTTGAGTGGAATCCCCACCACACAGAGGAGGAGAGTGAGGTGTAAAGATAACACACTCCTGGGATGATGCATGTGCCCCAGCCTTCCATTCCCTCCCCTGGCCAATCTATTTCCCACGTATGGATCCCCAGAACCAAACACCCTCTGTGGGGCCCAGGGAAAGAGGGGGTGCTGATGCAGACTCTCCGTTCTTCAGGGAAAGAGGGGGAAATCCATGTGAAGAGGGGTTTAGGTTTGAACTCCAAGGAGTGGGGTTAAGAACAGACGGGCAGCTTGAACATGAAAAAATTCCCTTTATCCTCATGTGCAACTCCTACTAATGTTTTCTAGAGTGGTACACATAGACCAAGGGTAGTCTATGGTCCATCTTAGTGTTTTTAATATTTAATGTTGGCATTCCCCTTATTTAAAGGGACACTGTCAAGTAGTTTAGGCTCCATGCATAGGTTTGGTATATTATAATCAGAAAAAAAAACTATCCCAAAAAATTATTATTAGCATTAACTTTTTTAGGGTTCCTTAAAGATGTCAGATGTATAATTATTATTTAGTTGTTAAGTGCCAGTGATGTGTTCAGTACTGGGCAAAAACAATGGAAAGAGGGTTTTGGCTTAAACCTTCACCTGCAATGTCTGCCGTTCCCAGGCCCTGATTCTGCAATTAGATCCATGCAGGCAGAGCTGTAGGGCTCTGTAAAGAGTGCAAGGGTCTGTCTGAGTGATTCCAGCTGAAGGACCATGAACCATGTGTGCAAAGAATAAAGGTGAAACAGATTAGTCTATTTTGATTATTCAAGCTGAGAGTATGTAAAAAACAGCCATCAGAAATGATGAAAAGTACACTGGGAATTTTTAAATTTGTATGGGTTTTTTCATTTTAAATAATATACATTATTTGTAGTACCAGTATGGGAATTTTTATTTTCAAATATATGTAATCTGACAATGTCCCTTTAACAGCAGGAAACAAAGGTAATCAAAAGTTTAAAGAATAGCCCTGTCAAGGCTGAATAACTCAGCCATTTTATAATGAAAATAAAACAGCCAAAGTCACCATTTCACTAGTTCCGATCAAGTGCACGTCATCCCCTGACTTCATCCTGATATTTGCGAGAGACATACTTGCACATACAGAAGAGGGCCAAGCCCCTCATGCTAGCAAAATTTCAGTTTCTAAACATGAAGTAATGTGCTGGTTAAAACAAATGATAACATTTCTAAAGACATTAGAACTACTTTGATCTTCCACCCTACTCCTAAAGCCCAATGGATGATGCTGCTAAAAAACCCACTAGTGTCTCTAAATGTCTAATTTTGTATATAAGTTAGTGATTTGGAAAAGAGAGAGGGTCAAGCCTCTTAGTTTGTATGTATTTCCTTCCATCTTCCAAAGTCATGAAACACTCTTAATCAAATCCTACCTTCAGCTGCTCATGCAACTACCTGGGAATGCTACCAATGGGAGCTGCATACACATGGAAAGATTTTGACAGGGTGCATTTTCCCTTTATTATGATTCATTCCTATTAGCATTATGGGTAAAATATACCCCAACATCTTACAGGTGCTGTCTAAAAACGGGGATAATTCCTAACTCCCTCCCTCTCCAGGGTGTTGTAGGGTTAACTGGTTAATGCTTATAATATGCATTAGGGATGCACAATGACGAGTACTAATATTGCTACTTAAAAAGCTTCTAGATGTTGACTGTACTGAGATTCTGAAAAATATTTAGCCTTGTGTCAGAAAAGAATAGCCTCAAACAGCTACCCCCAACAAATTGTATCCAAGTCTGTGGAGTAGATTTACGATGTGAAATATTTTCAGCCAACGTTTTTATTCAAGGAAATTGAGAGAAGCAAAACTATTGTTTGTGTGAGCTGTTGGTAATGTGGGCTTGCCTTGCACTATGTGTCATCATTTATATCTCTGCAGATAGGATGTAAAAAGGCTACCAAGGCAGAATTCTCCACTCAGCACAGCGGTGGTACTGTTTTAAGCCCACTTTGCAGGTTCAGGCCCTGTACCAATAACAGGGCTACATTAACACAAGGAAACAATAACACAACTGCACATAACAGTTCCAGAAGGGCTCATCTCACACCAGTTAGATAATCAGGAATCTGGTCTTCAGTATTTAGGAATAAATAAATAAATAAATGAAATCACAACAATGTGGGAAATGTTTAATGTCTCTTTGTTCAAATGCATAATTAAAGGTCTGAACTACATGAACTAAAACTACCACTGAAAAATAGAACCAGCTATACGCTTAACCACAAATAATACTTCTATATTTGAGTTAATGGTATTGAATAGCTATGGATGGACAGCTAGGCAGGATTGTCCAGTGGTTGGGGCACTAGGCTAGGGAGACCTACGTTTAAGTCCCTGCTTTCCACAGATTTCCTTGAACAAGTCACTTAGCCTCTCTGCATACATTTCCATATCACTTTCTTTGTCATATCATCTTGACGGTGTGTTAAAGAGATCCTGAATATTAAGGGCAAAATCCTGTTCTTACCTGGGACAGCAGCATAGAACAGGGTGGGCTACTGCAACAAGTTGCTTGCTGCTCCTCAGAATAGCATGCATTCTAAGCTATTGGGAAGAGAGGAGGTATCTGGACAGACCTCTACCAAGCAGATTACATCTCCTTGAGGTTATAGGTGGCATGGGCCAGCTCATTTGCCAGTCCTCCTCTAGCACTCTTTAGTCTCTATGAAGGATCTTACCCTGCTACTTGCAGGGAGGAAAGAATCCTTTTCTATCTTCTCCCCTTCCCCTTCTGCACTATGCAACAAAGGTCAGAATCTAGGCCCTAAAAAGGAACATATTGTGCCATTTATCAAAATTTCCTCCTGAGAGCCCCCTTTCCTCATACCACCTGCAGAAGGTGTTAGATGCAAAGAGCTGTGGGGTTTTCCTCCCTCTTCTCGTTTGCTGGGGAATGAACCTAAAGAAAAGTTGTTGAATTCCAATCAACTCGTTCACATGTTCTCACTGTGACATGCATTAGGTATGTGAATGAACTTGTAGATCAAAAGGTTAAAAAATAAATAAAAACAAACAGAAATAGCAGAAATTTATGGAAAAAAGTTTAACATAATTCTGATTTAGATACTTCTGGGAAATAGTCTGTGCATCAGGAACAATCATTTAGAGAGTAGTATATACACATACCCCTACCCACTACTGCTGGCCATGGATGATTGATGACTCACTACAGACTGAGCCAAGCTCAAAGTCAGGTCTTCCAAGTGTGACATCACAGACCCTGAAGAATCTGGCCAAATATTCCACTTGTCGATCAGCATACCCACCCATGATATGTAGTCATGGGACTGATGTCCATACAGTAAAAGGACTATGGCCAACTCCTGGTACACTGGAAACTAACCTGTGTATGCTTAGGAAGCTCACCAGTTTCATTACAAGTGCCACAAGGTTTAGAGACAGCTACTTCTCTGTTCATCAACTGTATGCAGGCTTATATAGAGTTTCTATTAAAAATTACGTATAAAGAAAGAGAAAGATGTTGAAGGCAAAAACATTGTCCCTGGCCAAATCAGCATAGACCTAATCTTTCAGAAAAGAAGGTAAGTTTACAGACATGCCTGGCAATAACACGGGCAATGTTTGGAATTTAATACTACTGGAACATGTCCATGTATGTCTGAGAGTCTGTGTGTCTTCGGTACGGAAGATCGATGAAATCTGATGTTGCATGGTATAGCTCAGTAGTATTAATGAATGGCTTTGAGTTCAATAAATGACATGGACTGGATATCAAACTCTTCAATTTAAAAGAATTAATGAACAGCACTGTGCCAGGAGCTAACAAGCATGACGAGACTTCCCGAGCAAGGAGCCACCTTGCAATTACTGTAAGTAAACTTTCAAGTTTGAAAATCATCTCCATGGCCACAGAAATCTAGCTTGCTTCCTCTCACTGGTCAGTTAAAGTGCAAATTGGACACAGAAGCTCTAAAACTCTGATCTATGCAAGCCAAAAAGAAAGTGCCCACATCATAGCCCACATTCATTTCCAACATATAGCTTGGAAAGGTGGATTAGAGCAATTCCACCACTGGCAGAAGAGGCCATAAGCATGGCTGTATTAGGCAAAGTGTCACTCTGAATCCCTTTCTTGAAACACTACTCCACTATTTCCCGTGGTCCTACAGATCCAGTCCTCTCCTCCTTATTGTCCACCTCCCACAGTGCTGCCAGCAAAGCAAACCACCTATGCCACTGTGGGAGCAAGATGACTGATTCTCCAATAACATTAGCAAGCTCATAAAGAAGCTGAGTGGAACTGCAGGGGGCTGGACAGGATGAAAAGAAGGGCAAGCATTCAGCACCCAGAAATTTCAGTGGTTAAGTGTGCAAGACAGGGGTGGAAAGAATAGAGCAAGGGCAAAGAACCAATGACAGAGGGATGTTGAAGTGGTGGCATTCACAGCGTAAGAGCATTGGAGTGAGAGAACTAGGGTGTAAAAGGGAAGGAAGGAATGGGAAGAATAAAGTGGGAAAAAATTGAAGGGCAGAGCATGAGTAGAGAAAACAATGGAGAGGGATGAATGCTAAGGTTGATTCAGCAGGGATGGGATGAGAGAACAGAAAGATGGTGAGAGAAAGAGACAAGAATGGCATATGTGACTCACGTTGCTAGATGCACTATGGGAAGGCATTCAGAGAGCTCTGTGATAGGTGAAGTACAAGGAATAGAGAGGAGATGATTAAAGTGAATCAAAGTGTGGGGGGGGGGAAGAAGAAAAGAGAAAAGGAAAAGAGAAGCCAGAGAAACAGGAAGAAAATGGAAGAGAGGAAGTAGCAGAAGGAACATGGAAACATGCAGAAAATCCTTTCTTGTCAGGCACATATGGGAGCAGCTGCTGCAAGAGGCACCGATTCAGGCATTAATAAGTGCAAACACTAGCAGAGTAGGTATCTGTCCCACTGCGCTGAGGTAGGGCCATAAAAACAAGCAATGTCAAACAGCAGGAAAGATGTGCAAGGGAAGGAGTCACGGTAATTTTGTCATTACAGTTTTTTTCCAGAGGAACCCCAACCTCCACTCCTTTTTCTTTCTATCCACCTATCACCACAAGATCGAGGCTGACTCCAGCGAACTTATCTTTTCTCTTAGCACTGCTTTCTCCACCCCTTCCCCATTTCACTGTGAACTTGCCAAGGTGCTAGCGTTTCCCCATCGTTCCCTGCCAGGTTTTGTCACTGTGCCTCATTTGGTTCCGAGAAAGGCTCCGACCCATTTCCCCACAAACTCCACACAGGCTTTTGTTTACACTATTTCAGAAGGAGGATCTAGAGCTCCTGAATTCCCAAATTTACCTCTGGCTCAAAAGTCATTTTGGAGAAGAGCCCACTAAATCCAATTTGGTGTAGCACAGAGTATAGATTTAGATGGAGCTGAAGGATCCAACTTTCCCACCTTTTGCGTCCCATAAATATTCAGAGGGAACAAGTGCCTTTGGGCCAAGAAAAATCCAGCATTCAATGGAAAAATGTCTTTAAAAATGAATGAGAAATTAACGTGTTTTAATCTTTGAAAAATCTATCTATTATTCACTTCAGCTACAAAGCCAAGATGTCCGATCTGTCCTGACTGACAAAATAGATCAATATTTCTGTTTAATTTTTTATGCAATTATTCATTCATAGTGACTTCTAAACTCCTATACTGTTATTTACCTAGAAAAGAAATATGATAGCTAAAATCATTCACCTCTCCTTAAAAGAATACTGCAGGAAAAATGCCTGGCAGATGTAACTAACTGTTTGATAAAAATAAGCAAGGCACCTAATTTACACAACTGTGCTCTAAAAATTAGAGCCCAAGATATATTCCTCTGCTAGGCTGTAAAGAAATGGCTTTTCTTATACTCTCTGGGATTACTTTACGCATCACAGAGGGTACTAACAAATAAGAAAAAATTGGACATTAGCAATATGTGGAGGTATTATCCACGGTGTTTCAACTAAGGCTTGTCAAACCTGAGATTGATATTTTATTTACAGCTAAAGGCAGAAGCCTTTGCTCTTCTTACCTGAAGAACTCTTTTGGTTAGGCCAGTTTTCTGAGCTAGCTGTTTCAAGTCCTTGGCATCAGGATTGTGGTTAATAGCAAAATAAGACTTCATTGTCCGCAACTGGTGGTGTTTGAATGATGTCCTCATGCGCTTTGTTTTTTGATTACTGGGGTATTGCTGGTCTCTATCCAGGTGGTCACCATCGTTCTCATTGCAACTTAAAGCTAAAGACAAGAAGGAAATGGTTGTGTAAATCCATCACTCTGTGACCAGCATTGTTTGCAAATCATCTGAGTGCAGCAATTAAAAGAACATACTATGGCATGTGTTGTAATGATAGAAACCCTACTTGCCTTCCCCTCCATTCCTGCATCCTTCTATTCTTCCCTTACAATAACTAATCTGCAAGAATCCTCACCTGCATCTTTACTGCTTTTAAAATGTCAGGTCTCTTTCCTTTTTTCTTTTCTCCATCTCCACACATCCATTCCATGACTTTCTGTCTGTAGGACAGTAGCTGTCCTCAACTCTGTAAAGTGTTTTAATGCACTTTGTATCACGATAAATTGCATTGTACTGTACACAGACAGCTGCTAAATAGAGTCCACTTAAATCTTGATGGAACAGACTAGTTAAAATTATAATTATTTCCTCCATCAAGCTAAACCCTGTAGAATACAAGAGAGACCATTAAATAAAACACTGTTAAAGGAGTAAAGTTTGTGTGTACAGACAGAAAATTACAACTATAATTTGACTAGTTAAAGAAATAAGCCTGTTAAAATATGTCAGTAGTGCGCCAAATCAAAAATATACATTTTAAAAACTATTCTCTGTATATTTATATTTCATTAAAAACAAAATCTCTTTAAAAATAGTGGTTCAAAGAATCAATTTTCCACGTATCCATTTGAGATCATTTAACAAGGCTGCCGGATAGATCTGGAAAAATCAGTAACAAGTCTTGCAAAGCATGTTTAGGAGCAAAGGAACATTACGATAATTACCAAATAGCACTAAAAGTTGCACGCCAAGCAAAATATTCTCATAAGCCAAAGGTATTATTTTGATTTTATACATGCATACAGTAAACCACAAAAAATCCTCTTAAAATAACATTAAGGATCAAGACTAAACCCACAAGAAAATTCAGTGATACGCCTGGAAATCTGTTCTGACATTTTGTCATTAATTCACCCCTCTGTGCTCAGGTACCCGCAATCCCCTTTTTCAGTTTTTTTAAAAAGTTTTGTGTTAAAACAGGGAAAAAATCCCTGTAATCTTCATTTTATACTCTCCCTTGATAATTATTCATCCACTCTACCAAAATGGCTCAAAAAAACCAGATAAATATGTATCTTGGGAGCCATAAAATGTGAATTATTGATCCAGCTGTCCAAACATCTACACACAGGTTTTTAAAATTGTCCATCATTACTGATCCAATACAATGTAATGTAGCAGATAGCTATGGCCTTATTTCAAATACAGTTTATTTATCAAATTGGAGCTGTTCAGTTCCATAGAATAAATACAAACTTTAAAAATCAGGTGTGGAAACAAATTTAACAAAATGTTCATAATATGCATGTGTGTCTTTTGTACCAATAATAATAAATATATTCAAACATTATAGAAAGCAATTAGTCAGCAGGTACAATTAGTCAGCAGGTATAGCAGGTACAGTGATTGCTTTGAAAACTTCAGCATTTCAGACTTTTAAAGCCCAGGACACATTATGGAATAAGGCTTGAAAAATTTCAGTTTGAAAAACAAAGGCAGGTTTGTCTCACAGACATGTAAAAAGCATCCGAAACCTCAAAACTTCTCTCAGTGTTTTTTAGACTCCTATAATTTAAATAACTAGCCATATATATAAATCCTTTCCAGGCTAACCTCATGCCAAGTTTCAGCAATGAGGGGCATTTTTTCTGCTGAGTTTTAAATTTGATTTTCTCATGGAAAAACTGACAGCACCTGAATTTGAGGGAAAAGGAGACACAAAAGGAGACAGCAGAATGCTGCACTTATTAAGCTGAATGGAACACTTTAGAATCTTCTTCTGGCTTCGTTGGGTACTGAAGTCTGGTTGCCAAACATGGAGTCACCCTTTGTACTTCAGTCTCCCTCATAGTTACATTCTCCTCCTCAAATAATGGTGGGAAGAAGATTATTTAAAATTATATTGCTCAGGGAAATGGGTGTTATGAAAAAAAGGTAACATAATACATTATTTATTATTGTTGTTTAAAGATATTCACTCACAGAATTGTAGAAATTCACTCACAGAAATTAGAGATGGAAAAGACCCATGAGCATCATCTTAAATCTTTTCTAATCTCCCAGAGGTGACAAGTCAGTGATTGATTATGAAAAACATCAAATTATTTTCTGAAGAACCAAAACCTGTTTTCCTTTCATTGCATGATATGGGCTCTGCACTCTCCAGTGGAGCAAACCCCAGGATTGCAGACAGCGTGAGACTGAGGACCCTGTTTTTTAACATGTTCTGTAAAAAGCTATGTATGTTTGTGGTCCAATATAAATAATAGCAATTCTAAATCCTCTCAGAACAAAATCCCAGCTTGCCTTCAAGCCTCAGTTAGACACTGAATCATTTGCTCTTTGAAAATATCCCATGTGTATTATAACTTGTTTCTCATCATTTACTTCCCTACCTCTTCTCCCTACTCACCCAGTCCCCAAACAAAATAAAAACAAAAATGTCCCATTTGGGACCTGCAGAACTATTGTCTCCTTTAAAAAAAAAGGAAATGGCACAACAGAAGTTAGAAGTGCATGGGGGTGGCTGTTGCTTACTCTTGTTATGCCAGCTGGATGGATACCCCTCGTGATGCTTAGCCTGAGATAGACATTTCTGATTAGTGCCAATAGCCATTCATATTGGGGTGTGGTACTTAGGATTCCATCTTTAAATCAGTCTATTGTATTCGGCCAAAAATTATACATGACTCTCCCAGAATCTGGATTCCCTCCCAGGGTGTGGGTAAAAAGATACTCAGTGGGCCCAGAATCTGGATTCCCTCCCAGGGTGTGGGTAAAAAGATACTCAGTGGGCAGAGGGGAATTTTCATGGGGATGGGGAGAGTAGGGGGTCTCCTATAGAATACCTCAGTGCAAAGAAATAATCCTGTAGATACTCCCTATGCACCCCCTCTCCTTTTCAGACACTTTTGCTCCTGTTCTTTGTGTGCCCTCCCTGTGTATCTCACAGAGGATTTGTTAGACAATCCAAATTCCAGGTTTCCTCTCAACTGCAAGCTGAGGGCTTCCTGCCATGAGACAAGTTCAGAAATGGAATTCAGTGAAATGCCAGTCAAATGGGAAAGCCTTAAATGAATGAGACTAGTGCTTGGTTCCCACTTTGGGGATCAAAGAAACCCAGATGGGCACTGAGTCCCTTTTTAGCTCCCAGAATGCACACTTAGCCCAAGCTATCCACTGTGCCCTCCCTCTCAGAGCCTCCACCAGCCACCGAACCACATTCATGCTGGCCATCATATCCCCCTCCCTATGAATCCCTGGCTGGCCACTCTGAGTAATGACTAGTCCTACACTCCCCCCATTAAACCAGCTCAGGCAGTTTTGCCAGCTATTTGAGCCTGATGATCTATGCCAAAAACATTGGAATTTGGTGCTAAGGAACAGAATGTACTCCACATATTAATGCAGCAAACTGCCTGGTACAAGGATGACAGGGAACAAAGAAAGAAGGTATTGTTATTATAAACTATATTTGAAGAAGGAAACACAGAAAGATCTTTCCTATGCCACCCTGGTCCTTAGATCCCACCAGCTGGGGTTCAAAACAAACCTTGCACTAATGTTCAATGTGCTGCTGGATGCAAGGGGCAGAAGCACTTCCCTTGACGAAATTTCCTCTTTACTTTTGCAGGTAATGTTTGACACGTTAAACACCAAAAGGAAAAAGCAAACCAAATCTTGGCGTCAAGAGAATGATGAGATAAGAGACATGTGGTGGAGGCATCAGCTCTCCCCTCTCAGTGGCTCAGTGACCTGCCGCTTTTCCCACCTGGAAGACCAGGAAGGGAGAGCAGCAGCCGCACTGTTTGTTGTCTGAGGTAGGTCTGTGGAAGGGTTTTGTATCCTTGTGGGGGGTAAAAAGATGAGAATCCTCCACTGACTCATATCACCTGGGACATGGAGTGGGTTGGATCTCTCACCTACGCCAGAGTGGGGGACGGACTCTTGGGTCCTTAATAGCAACTGGAACAAAAAAGGGGGATTTGGATCCAACTTCTGTGCTCGGGAGGAGGAATCTGGGGCACTTGGCACAGGGAGTGTGTGTCCCTCCCCACGTCTGTGTGCACGGAGTAGGGGGAGACCACATCTGTGAGGTTTCAGAGTAGGGGACCCAGGAGCTTCTTCCTCAGCCTTGAAATCTCAAGCAGAGCTTTTGGGAACACAGGAGACAGGGACTGTCTTGGGGGCGGGGGAGATTACAAAGAGTGGAGCGAACTTTGTATCCCTCCCGCAACCTGCCAGCTAGAAAGAAAGCTCAGGGCTCTGTCTGGTTCACATTCCTTCACAGTCTCACTTAGCGAAACAATCCCAGGATCCCTCCCTAGACCTCAGAAGCAGAGCTGTGAACACGACAGTGGCAGATGCAAGAGCAGGGAAGGGATCTTATCTCTCCTCTTACCAGAACCAAAGGGCACCTCGTGAGGTCTCGGTGCAAACCCCAGTGAATTGCAACCTGTGTGACTCCTCTAGGGGGAGAAAGAGGCTCAAAATCGGAGTAGCTGCCGGACTAGCTGTATGTTGGGGGAAAGAGAGGGAGGAGCAGAGGGGACAGGCCTAAAATGGGGGGAGAGGAGAGAACAAAGGGGTCCGGAGGAGGGCCCAGAAGGGACAGGCCTACAGCGGGGGAAGTTTCTCTGGGAGAGGGGCCATGTCTGCAAGAGGAGGGAGTGAGGGGTTGATCAGGGCCCCCGGTGTACGTGTGTGCAAGGGGTGCCCCAGCAGGGAGGAAAGGGGGATTTGAGCCCCCTGTGGGGGCTGCGGCTGGGGCGGTGTCCGGGCCCGCCTCCTGGAGGGGCTGGCTCGGGAAGGGTTTTTCCTCTCAATTAAGCCAACTGAATGAAGCTAAATTGCTGGTGCGAGCGCTCAGTAATTCCCTGCGCTGGTGATTACCGCGGCCAGCCTCCCTCCAAGTCCAGCGCCGCGCCGCCCGCTTAGGGCCAGGCTGGGGCTGCCCGGGCCGGGGTCATGGGCTGGAAGCAAAGCAGAGTCCCTGCAGCGTCTCCCCTCCCCTTCCAGCGCTGACCTCCCTCTGTCCCCATCTATCCCCTCACACTCTCCTCCCATCTAGCCCTGGCCCCGGAGTGCGCACAAGCAGCCTCCGGCCGGGCCGCCCAGCCTTCCCCAGGTCCCTGGGTAGCAGCGCAGGAGGGAAATCCCCATTAGTTCCCTCTTTGCTGGGACCACATTGGGTTTGGTCCCGTTCCACTCCTAAGAGGCCTCCTTGGGAAATAGGCGCAATTCAGCGGGAGCCGGGCGCGCAAGCCGCGCCCTGGCTCTCCAGGAAGCGCGCAGCAGGTCCCCAGCCCCCTTTGGGGTCCCTGGGGGAGATTCCTCGTCCGTAGCTGTAATCTCCCGTTGGAAGGGCCCGCTTCAGGGATCGTGTCCCAGGTGCTAGCCCCAGCAACGCAGGCTCCCCAAAGTTGTACCTGCAGTTACGTATTTGACGGACTTTTTTCGGACTAAATACAATAAACAAAATACTTTAAAAATAACCCCAAGCCAAGCCTGAGCGTACGAAGCCCATCCGCCGGGGAGGAGAGTGTGTTTTTTCTCACTAACCTCCTGGAAAACGTTCGCGCTTGAGAATCTCCAGTTTGTCAGGCTTTGTCATTTCAGTGGCTGGGAGAAATCTTTCTTTAATTTGTCATTTGTGGTTTGATTTTTGTGCAGAGGGAAGAAAAGCGATGGGAGAAATTAGAATAAAAGAGATCGAACAAATTATTCAAAAACTTTACATGCTTTTTATTTTATTTGTTTGCTGGTTTATTTGTCTTTCCAGTGAAACTTTTGGTTGATAACAGAGAGAGCCAGCGCCAGAGACACTCCTAACTCCCCCGAATCTTGTTGGGGATTGAGGTAGGGGGGACAGGGAGGTAAGAGCAAAAGACTCTTTCGTTGTTGCCTGGATTCATCAAAACACCTCGCAATCTCTACATTTATTATTTTAATGCTTGTTCGATAGTGAAAGGAAATAAACGAACTCTAGCGCTGCGGAAGTCCAACCAAAGCGAATCTAGGGATAACAGTTACCGCTTTAACCTAGCTCAAAAGCCTTTTCCGTTTTACATTACTAACAAAACAAACAGAAAAGAAAAAAAAATTTCACATGTGCACACCTTTCTCAGGAATAGCTGTCCTCTCCCATTGTTTCCCCAACCCGAGATTTATGTCTGCGCTATATATTTAACCACCTTCCTATTGATAGACTTTATATCCTCCAGAGTCCAGCTAGTAAAGGAAGAAAATATTTCTTAATGTGGGACTCTGCTCTTCGCAAAGATTGTGCATTTTATCAGTCTGTGGGGCCCTTGGTATGCACAGTACATCTATCATTTCTAGGGATATTTCAGTGTCTTCACGTTAAAGGGAGACTAGATATGAATGAATAAAATATTCCAGGCTGTGGGAGGTTCGGGGTCCAATTCACAAAGGGAGTATTTTATTCAGAATTCTTTACAGGTGCTCCTGGGTTCAGCAAGCTTTCAACCATTGATTTACTGACCTAAAAACCCTCTCAAACTCCATTCCAACAAGTGATAGAAAAAATTATGATCATAGGAGCAACTCTTACCACTTACCAGGAAAAAAAAAGGAGAAGAAGAAGAAGAAAAAGAAAGGGAAAAAAAATCTTTTTGAAGTTCCGGCTTCCTTCTAAGCTATTTTCCACTTGTCAGGCTCTATCCACATCTAAAATCCTTCAACCATTCCACCCCCCTGCAAACTGGGTCTTGTTTGAGTGGAAAAAAGAGTCAATCCAATTTATGCTACAGATGAAATAACTGCAGTTTACCAAATAGTTTATTTCTAAACTGCGATCAGGTTTTAGGTGTCTCTCCCCTCTCCTCCCCAAATTCATGTGTGTGGTTTTATTTTTAAAAGAATGCGATGTAGTATACACAAACCCAATTGGCAAGAAAAAGAAAGAGGGGATGACAAATATTGTTCATTTCTAGTGCATCTCTCAAAGTGGAAAGCAGTCACACACACACGTTAAAACACGTTTTCTTTTAAAACTTGCGAAGTCGTACACTTTGCAATCCGTTACTTGTTTCATTTTAAAGCAAAGGACAAAATGGGTAGATTTCCAGAATCTACTTCCTTTATAGTCACTTCAGTTAAGAGATTTTGTTTTAATCATAAAATGGTTTAGCAAAAGAAGATAAAGCCTTCCCAGGGAAGGTTGTTTAATCTGCAGTTTCACAATCAATGCAGAAATAAAAAATAAAATAAAAACCGGAGAGTAATTATTTTGAAAAGGAATAAAAAATAATTGCAAATAAAAGTGGTGAGTTTAAGAAGCCAAGGAGCTATAATGCTTTTTCAGGCTGCGCACCTATCCAGGACAGATGCTGACGGTTCGGTTTACTGGTCCTCTGAATCTGAATATCTGCCCTACATAGGGAGACAGCGGAAGGACAATTTAGGCTAATACCTCCTAAAAGGATACCATTTTAAACGTGAAACTCGTGTTTTCTATATATTTTAAAGCTCGGAATGAATCTGAGGAAAACGCCATATACACTTTTCAAAGCATAGAAGGACTTTTCCTTCCCAAATCTCTCCAATGGCACTCCCATTCATTGACTTGTGTACATTTTCCAAATTATACAGCAATCGGTTAAACAAATTCCAAGTGGCAAACAGTTCCTGAAACCTGTTTGCCAGTTAAAGTTGCGCCTTTCCTCCTCGTTATTTTCAGGCCAAACAAGTAATTTTTGCACATCCATCCCCATTGTTCCCATCCAAGTTGCGCGCAAAATAGGCGCAGCCTTAGCCGCATCCTCCACTCCCCCTGCCCCCGATTTTCAAAAAGCGCACAATCTACAGGGCTGCGAGATCTCTAGCAGATGAGATTTTCACAAAGCCATACACTGCGCTGCCATACACAAGTTTTTCTTGATTTATTTCTTCTATTTTTCTAATATTGAGTAGTAGAAAGTAAAGCGCTGCCCAGAGCAGCATATTCCAGAGATTTACGAGAGAGGGAGTTTGCAACAAACAGCAGCAACCCGTACGTTTGCCTGAGGGTCCCATCTCCCCAAAAAGTTCAAGGCAAAACTGCAACACACCCCCACTCCCAGGTCATGTATGAACGTCAGACCAGACAGAATTACAGTCTGCCAAGCAGGACTGAAGGATTCAAGGGCTGCGAAAGAGGGGCAGCACTACTGAAAAAACTGGCAAATGCTGACTCTTCTTCAGTGTCTCCCCTGTTTTACAAACATCTGTTGGACACTTGATCTCAGAGTTTCCAGAGATTTGTGTCCAGAGAAAACCTTGTTCCCAACACATCTGCTGGAAACACTTCTAATAGAACTGAGATCTAAATCTTTTCCTCTGCACAAACCCTTTTCTATCTCATCCTGGATCCACAAAAACAGGAAGATAAAATAATTCTAACATTTCTGTTATATACAGGCCACAAATATACATTATAGGAAGAGTAAAGGAAAGAAAGAATTTTCTTTGATAGGTTGGGCAGCCAATTAGAATGCCTCTGCCTGTAAAATTACAACACTGAGGTGAAGGGAAACAATCTGGGATATTAGCTATTGAAATTTAAAGAACTGGAGAGCCAGGGGTTTTTGCAAAGACACAAGCTTGTCCCGGGACCCAGGTCTGTTCCTGCGACCCCTTGTCCTTGCTGCTGATCTCAAATTTGGAGTAGGGGAGTTGTAACTTGAGGCTAGTACATGGTCAGAATAGTGATTTTTTAGTTCTTTGAGACTTCTATAATTCACAGTTGATGAACAAAACTCCAGTCAAACTGGTCACCGGGCAAACAGTCCAGGGCTTGCCTGCAAACACCTGCTTTCTAAAGACAATTCCTCAGACCACCAGATTGCGCTACGCATGTGCCTAAACATAAAAACGCTGTACCCCCACACCAGAGTTCCAGCACAGCCCCATCTTCCTTCCTGTTCAGTTCTCAGTGACATCACCATGTTGATGTGTTTTGTTTTGTTTTGTTTTTTACCCTCCTCTTTACCAAAGTCTTTGGTGCAAGAACTCAGCAGTGGCAGAATAATTCACCCAACAGCAGCCTTTAAGAACTAACTACTAAAGGAAATTCACAGCTCTCTGAAGTGCTAATTTACAATATCTGGTTTCCAGATTTTATTTCAAGCTACACTCGTCTCCCTTTCCCCCCCCCTTAACCAGATGACCTTGCTTCAAAACATTTTATTTCCAACTGAAGTGAAAAATGCTAACATAGCTTCTGTAATTGCAGTTTGACAGCACTTGATCTCAATAATTATGCTGCAGCTAAACTATTATTACCAATTTAAGCTAAAATAACGAGAAACCCCCTTAAAGGGGAACAGAAACAAACCATCAGCATTATTCTTGGCGGGGAGGGGTCTCTTACCTGCATTGTAAGCTGCCAAATCTGCCCCAGGCCCTGGGCTCTTCCTTTTCCTGGGTCGCCCCTTCTGGACAGTCCCCACGCCGTTGTAATAAGGCAGTCCCAAAGTATTGGCAGAGCCCGCTCCCAGGGCTGGGCCCTTCCCAGCGGCTACATCCGAGTGATTGAAATGCACCTGGTACTCCCCCTGGATGAGAGTCTCGAAGTGGAGGCGGCAGTACACCAGATTGTCCTTCATGCCAAAGTGGTCGCCGGTGGTCAGCATCTTGTTGCAGGTGGTGCAAGTAAAGCAGTTTAAGTGATATACCAAATCCCTGGCCCTCATGACCATTTCGGAGGCGGAGATCCCCAAGTGACACCTCGCACATCGCTGCACCGAAAACCTCCTGCAAAACAGAACCGCGACAGGAAACAAATGAGAACCGCATTTCCCCTTTTTAATCATGGATCTCCTCACTACCCCCCTCTGCCATTCGCCGGTAAAAGCTTAAAGATGTTTCTCTTCTCCGGCCAGAAGGCTTTATTCAGAGCAGGCTGGGCTCCAGACCCCGACCCCTGGATGAGCAAGGATCGGTGAACAAGGCAGTAAAGTTTGCAACGTGGCCTTTGTCTTCCAGTGCCCTAAACTCTTAAGACATTCAAGCCGTGGAAAGCCGTAAAACCAGCTATGGCTCTGCCAGGCCAGTCCCGGGGGGCACCTCTGCCTGGCTCATGAGGGCTCTGGTTCGCTGGGCATCCATTTCTGCTCCCCATCGAGCAACAACCGTACTTTACACTCAGCCTGCCACCCCGCCTCACTTCTGCAGAGACAATGCAGCGAACCCCGCTCGCCCCCCGGGCCGTGGGGCAACAGGGAACCTCTTCTGCTGGGGCTGCTCGGGAGACCCGAGCCAACAGGACGGGAACTGGGTCTGACCCTCAGCTTGGGTGCCAGGGGAGAAATTCGGCATTTTCCAGCTCGAATCGCCCGGCACCATCACAGCTTCTTCACGGAAACCCCGCGTACTAAATGGAGAAATATCCTCGCAACTAACATTTCCCGCCCTTCTTTGAAAACGGAACCAAGTTATCCCCAGAGCCTGCCACTCCGTCCACCCTGGCTGGCGACGCTCCTTAGACCCTTCTCCAAGGCTGGCTCCCTGCAGCTGGGGCTCAATGCCATACCCCCTTTACCTGGGGGAGGGGGGGCCCTGTGTGCATTTAAAGTCATACTGGAGGTGCGTTAATTCATTGTCATGATTACTATTATCTTAATATTAATTGCCAAGGGTTGAGAAGAAAGCGAAGCTGTATTTCTCCTCAGTTGTTTCGTTTTGCCGCAAAGCGTGCAGGGCACCGAGGGAGGGGGCACGTGTCCCCAGCCCGCCTTGCTGGCAGCTTCGCTGCGTGGGTTTCGTGCCCAGATATTGGCCCATTCCCCCCGAAGCCTGCAGCCTGTCTTGCCTACCTCATTACCCCCCCCTCTGGATGGAGACGCTCAGGGAGCCCATAGCCTGCCCCGCCGGGAGGGTCTGCCCAGTACCCCTCTTCTGCAGTTTGCAGTGGGGTTGGATTTGGTGGAGGGGGGTATCAGGGCCCTCCCCCGCTCCCTGCACTGGGGGAGGGGCAGTCCTTACCTGTAATAATCCTCCTTGCAGTAGATGCTGCCGTCCTTACTGAAGCATGTGAGCTCGGACTCCAGGTTGAGTTTACATTCACAGCACTTCAGGCAGCGCATGTGCCACTGTTTATCCACTGCCAGGAGGTAATAACGGTCGGAGATCTTTCCCCCGCAGCCGGCGCACAGGGCAGCCCGGTCACTGCTGATGGAAGGCATGGTCTGCTGGGGGGAAAACAATTGCAGACAGTTAGTGACAGAGGGAGAAACCCTCCTGCACCACTAACCCCCCCTCCCCCTAGCCCAGTTACCATCAGGGCTGGGCTTCTCCTCTTCCACTCCAGGGGGCTTAATAGAGAGACCAGGGAAAAGGGGGCTCCGAGGAGTCCAGCCCCTGCCATCCTGACCTGCTTCTCCTGCCCTGGGAAAGTGAAGTTTCCTTAAGATTTCCAAGGCTTAAAATATCTGCCCCCTATCCCAAGCGAAGGGACATGGTTGTTGGCAGAGGGGATAGGATGCGAGAAGGACATATTACAGGGTGAGGGGGAAGGCCATCCGGGTTAAATCTAATAAATGGTCTATATGGACTGGATCGGCCAGCCCCAGAGCAAACGAAAAGGGTGCTGCAGTGCAAACTAACAGTCACAATAATCATACAGCAGGGCAGATTGCAGACAGTTAATTTGAGATATCTATACCTGAATATTTACATAGTGGCGACACGGAGAGTGTATAGTAAAGGCTGAGTGTGTATATATATATATGTGTGTGTGTGTATATATCTCTGTGTGTATATATATATGATGAATTACAGATCCTGGCACTTACAGAGTTATGGAAAGAGCTCTCTGCAAATTGATTCCAAACAAAATGCATTCCAGCCCAAAGCACTACACAGATGAGTCAACAGAGCTGCGGAGGAGAGGAACATTACTAAATTCAAAGCGTAGAACGCTTTATCCAAACCACCACATCGTCTGAAATGTGCAATCCAGAAAACAGGGGAAAGAACCCGGAGCAGAGCATTTTAGGTTATTTTAGCATTTTACGTTATACCAGGATAAAGCTGGAAGCAATAAACGAAATGTAACCCCCTATATAATTTAATAGTTTAGTATCAGATCACAACCCAAATCGAAACTTCCTTAAAAAAAAAGCAACTAACCAACTTCCACTAAGCAGTGAGAAAATAATGGTGGAAACCATTGAAACCAATAGGAAAACATCCTTATTTGTTTTATCCTGGATCCTAAAATAATATTCAAGTGGAAAGATAAAATGCGAAGCACTATTTATGGCCGACCTTGCAACTGGCTTTTGTACATTTCCCTCTTCTTTTGCTATGCACATGGCACCTAAACCTCCCTAGACATTTACTTATTGTGGAAAAAAAACAGATCTGACGGATATAATTTTCCCCCTTCAGCACCTTAAACTGGTGCGCAATGCAAAAAGAAAGAAGACAGCTAAAAGGGGAACAAGAGAATAGAGAGATAATGAAGAGAATGTCTCAAAATATACTAGAACTATCCAGTAGCCCAACTACACTTGTACAAGCCACATAAATCCTTTGTGAATAGCCCAAATGCCTATATTTCAATGACTCCAGTCTCTGAATTTAGATTTATATGAAAGTATAGCAATGTATGGTCTGCTGTCCACACAGCTCCACTGTTTATGTCTTTAAAGAGTTAACCGAACCCTGATTAGTGATCGTTTTATAAGCAAAAGCAGCTTCCTGTAAAGCCAGTTTAAATAAAACAGTATTTTTCTGCTTTGTCCTTCCAGTGACATGAATATTTGGGGACCCAAGAATGGTGCTTAAGAAGTTAATAGTCTAAGCCACTGTTTATAATATTTTACTTTTACATACACACACACACACACACACGGTGGCTTACATATATAAATGTCATAACAATTATGCCAAGAGAAACCAATTGTCTAATTCAAACACTGTTTACCTGCAGGGGAAAAAGAAATCAAACTTTTCAAAAGAAAACTAAAAATATTTAGGGCAGAAACCAGGTACGAAGGCTCTCTTTATAGCCGTTATTTCAGCCTTAACCACACTAATTGGCAGTTATTTTCTACACAATGCTGACAAAAATAATACAACATGGAGAAACTTAAAAACAAATTCGGAAGGCTTTTCTCGTGCACATGGCCATATCAGCTCTATAGGAAGAGGGGTATTTGACCTAAATACGGATCTTTTTGTCGAGCAAGATTCTCATTCCTATTTAATAAAAAAAAAGAGGAGACCTCCAAATGTTGAAGGAATTGAAAATCTCTTCGTTTGATTTTAAGTTAGTTAACGTCATTTAGAAGGAATACATTATTTTATTTAGCAGTAACTATTCCACTACATAAACGTAAGAATACATAAATATTATAAATCACCAGATACAAAATGAGCCCTTGAAAAATATTTTAGAAGGGAAAAATTTGTGTCTTCGTTCGTAATAATTAAAATTCGTCTTCTATGTTTGTCGCAATGTAGCGAGACCAGATTATATTTGTTATTATTAGGATAGCAGTGGCGGTAGTAGCAATAATAACGGATTGTAACATTGCAACTAGACGCGCAGTAGTGACTGTCTCAATGAATTCATCCCATCTGGGAAAAACAGAGAGACAGAGATCCTTTGGTGCTTGTGGTTTTCCTTTTGCAGACAGGGTGCTTTCCCTTCTCCCTAAATCTGGCTTCACCAAAACGTTAACTACATGTCGCCCTCTTCCCAAAAACTTTCGGAGAAGGCCAGACAGGCTGTGGGCAGGGAGGGAGGAGGAATTCCTGGGCTCTTCCAAAAGGCTGCGGCTGCTTTATTCCTGTTCTCGCAAGGACAGTGCCTTTCAGTTCATCCCTCCAATACTGTCATTGTTATTATTAACCATTATGATCGGATACATGCATAGCCCCTCGATTTTATTTCACAGTTTTTAGGTGCGTTTATGCTTATTTTTTGTTCCTATTTAGGCGTCTTAGTTATTATTCTTGCCTACGTTTCCCCCTATTTATTATTGTTCAGGGAAGGCGTTATGGGGTTCGTTATTTTTAGGGAGTCGAGGGGGTATCTCGCCCGCTCTCTCGCCTCCTACCGTTTCGGTCTCTCCCCTGTCTATAGCCGAGCTGATGGCTGGCGCTTCGCTCTTGGCTCTCCGGTCCATCTCATCGATGACCCCGTGCATCTCTGAGCCGGACAGGCTGTGGAAAAGCATCGCGGAGGAGGAGGCCCCGAGTTGCGGCTGCAGCTGACAATTGTCGGGGTCCCTGCAGGAGCCCAGCACTTGCATTAACCGGAGCCCTCCCCCATGCATCTAGCACGGCCGCCCCGTCTCTCGTCGGGCTCCGGACTTGCCACCCAGCCAAGCTCTCCGGAGCTCAGCGCAGGCTCCGATCCGAGGACTTCAGGGGGGTGAGGGGGCAGGGACGGTTGGGGGGAGGGGGCAGGAGGGTTGTTGGTGTTGCAGGCTTCAGGGCTTGGATCTAGTCCGTTGCGTGGCCCCGTCACATCCCTCTAGGAGGCTTCTTCAGAGCAGGGCTCATCGCCCCCGGAGCAGTCCCAGGCACTCAGCGCTGGCCCAGCTGGCAGAAGGCTGGGCAGGTTGGGGGTTTAATACAAACAATTAAGCCATCTTCTGTGCAAAATAAATGAAAAAATAACGACAACCCCCTACATTGCACCGTGCAGAGCCAACGAGGAGAGCGCCGGGGGCAGGGGAGCAGCAGCCGGAGAGGAGCAGGCTGCTGCCGCGGGGAGCTGGGGCAGATGCCAAGGCTGGGCACTCACAGTCCAGAGGGCCAGCAGCAGGGGCAGCTCCGGGGCAAGGTTTGCTCCTTTCCCCGCTCCTCCCCCAACCCCCTGGATCTCATTGGGAAAGGGAAACCCGGGGGAGGGGAGTGTGAAGAGTGGGACGGCCCCCAGTGGGGATGGGCGCTCTGCAGCCCCCGTCTCCCCACAGCCCCCTGGCCCGTGCACCCCAGGAGCGGCTGTGGCGCCCTGCTGTTCCCAGGAACATAAGTTTGTGGCGGCGCCGCGTGAGTAATTGGGGCGGGGGGGGAGCTGCTGCCGCTCGGCGCAATCCCTTGAAGTGCGAGAGGCGCTTCTGCAGTCCCAGCCCAGCGCAAGGCTCCGCGCCTTTTCTACAGCCCCTCTGACATCATGTCCTGGCCCGCCCTCATTGGCTGCAAAGCTCCTGGCCCAGGCCGCGTGTGCTCGGGATGGAGGCGCGGAGTGGAGACGGGAGAGGCATGGCCAGGGTGGGGTGCGGGGGGGGGGGAGAGAGAGCTGGAGTTTTCATGCTGTTGAGGCTTTGCTGCTATTTTCCCACTTTTGCAAAAAAAAAGAAAAATAATGCTTCCCATCCTCTTCAGACCCGTCCCTCTAGGTCACTAACATCTGAGCACGTGGGGGCCCAGATACCGGGCAGGGATCCTATTCTTTGCTGCAGATCCAGTGCTGCCTTGCCCGGCGCACCCAGAAGAGAGAGTGCTTGGAGCAGAGAAACAGCAGCCACTCAAACTCAGATCAGCATCGGTAAGAAGACTCACATTAACTAACTGGCAACACTAAATGATTTATCTGTTACACTGGCTGCTGCAAGCGGGATATATCAGAGTGAACTGCTCCAAGGCAGGAGGCTCAGGAGGCCAAGGAACGGTTTACACTCAGATCATCTGATCTGAAATATTTAAAATTCATTGAATGCAACCAACATTATTCACCCTGCTTCTTAAACATAGTCATAGCTAGACTATTGTCATTGGTGCCATTAAACTTCAAGGAGTCTCTCACAAACTGATCCTTCTCACTTCTCTTACTTCCAAGCTAACTTTAAGAAAACTAGGCCAGAGAAGCCTCTTCCCAATTTAAGTCAAAGACATCAAGGAATCCCCCAGAAAAAAACGAAGGAAATGCAACAGGAAACCTTTCAAGATTTCTAAATATTCTCCAAGAAGATGGATAGCATGGAAGGTTTAATGTTCTGAGGTCAAATATCAGTGTTTTAATTATGTTAACAAAGGGATTAGGTTGGAAAGTAAATCTTAATTTATTTATGAGATCCCAGAATTTACTTGGGACCTATGAGTAAAACTTATTACATGTTTTTATTATTAGCAGTAGTGGTTGGCATCTTACAGATGGAGTAAAATTATTACTACTATTTATTCTTTCATTATTATTGTTAGCAATAGTAGTGGTCTGCCTCTTACAGGTGTAATAAAGTGAAGAAGGCTACATTTAGCTACAGTTGGAATTATTCCTTTTATTTCTTTCTTGATTTTATGTATTTCTTGACATCTTTATAATACACTTTACTCACTGCTACCTTTCCCTTTGAATAGTTTCAACTGGTTAAATACATTTTCACCTCAGAGTGAGGAACAAGGTGTTGTCAGCATATTATGCCTCACAGAGATTTATATAGAAAAACCTCAAGAGCCCTTGAGGAGTCGTGCAGAACGCAGGCTAATCTGGCATCTGTGGGATATATCCAGAGAATGTGCCAAAGTTATCAGTGCTTGGAAACAACGGAAACTGGTATTTTAATTCTGATTAGAAAATGAAACAGAATGATCAGATTTGTACAGTATTTCTCTTGACAATCTGTAGTTTATTTTGTGTTTTCATACTCCTGTTGTTTCTTTCACTCCATTATATATATATATATATGTATTATTATTTTTATTATAATGTATATGGACAGACGAATCACCATACATGTTGATAGTAACAGGCTGTGTGGCTTTTTCTCTTTTCCACACTTTATTTATCCCTTCTCAACTAATCAACATGCAAGACCTCACTAGTATTCTCTATGATGGGTGGTTTGCCTCCATTTAATAGTGTACAGGGGGAAAACAACTCAGGTGAAAAGTTACACACAGTACTGTTTGCATAATACTATGTCTTGTCACGGAACACAACTGCATTACTTTTACATAGGTAGCTTGCTGTATGTGTTCTGTATCTATATACTGTATTTTCCTTAGATTTCTTCCTACAAGTTTAATTCTATAATACAGAAGTTATTGCACATGTTCTAAATATATTTATAGCTGAAACAGGTCATAGCCTCTTCTACTTAATGCCAGGCTTCAGACATTGCTAATTATCTCTAAAAGATTATATTTCATATAATTATATTGAATTAGCGGCTGGAAACAATAACAGAAGTGATATGATTGAAAAGGTATGGCAGTGACATCCAGTTCATAGGCTACTATCTCTGATTATCTTCTTAAGTGATATACAAACACAAGAAGGCATCCAACCCTTGCTACTAGAATACAACAAGGAAAGTAATAGATTGTAAACACAAAGCTGCTAGTGTACATACTGACATATGAATGACATTTACATTGTTCAGAATAAAAAGCAGGATATTCTCGAATAATGAACAGAGGAAAAATCACTGTAATACAAATCATCTTTTAAAATCAAATAGGGTCTCTTTTGAAATGGGAAATTATTCATTTTAAAAAAAAGTGAAGCTAATAATAAAGTCCCTTAACCTGTATTTTGTAGTAGGTGACAGGTGAACAAATCACAGGTCTTGAGTTTCTCTACCCTGCCTCTCTCTGGTAACGTCATCTCCAGTACCATCTGCTACCTACCAGCTAAACAGACCAACCACATAATGAGGTACCAGCTTCTACCCAGCTACCGTGACTAAATCAGAACAAAAGAACTCAACGCCTCCTTCAACAAAGGGACACAAGTCTAAGCTGTCTTTGCTAATTGCTGGGTTTCAGGTTGTCTGTTACAGAATTTAAGTGAGCTGCAAACTTGCATCCATACTTAATAGCTGTTGGATAAAGATAATGCGAATAAAAGATAAATGGAAACTGAAGGTAAGAAAAAATAGAAGAAAGCTCAGAAAACAACTAACTATTTATGGCAAATTAAAGGCTGTAGAATAATATAAACATGAGAGAGCAGGGGGCAGAGTGATTGATATCTCATATGTTTTTGATGCCCCATACGGTTATTAGACTGCAATATACGGGACATACAATAAACTATGAATTAAAACGTAATTGCAGCTTCAGGCATCTTCTTCATTGTCTGCTGTGGTGTTATGTCTTCATGCACCGTGATTGACAAGGTGTAATTAATCATCTTACTCAGTTGTAAATATGGGCACCATTCACAGTAGGCATCAGGAAGTGTGTACCAGCAAAGAAGGCAATAGTTGACGCTGATATACCATTAAATCAAAATGAAAAGTCTTATATGTTCAGAAATGTGTGTTTGGTGTGATGCTGTTATCGTTTATTTCTAAAATACTGTACCAACAGATTTACTTGATTTGCAAGTTAACTACAACATTAACTGGTTTTATTTATTTTGTCTCTTCTTCATTTTTATAGGCAATGATGCTGTTCTCCTAAAATGTGAGACAGTTTTCTTCTTGACAGCAAGTGGAGCCCAGCTCTGCATCTCCCTCAGTCACTGGAGAAAGACTAACATGCTTCAGATTCAGTTGCTTTCCAGACAGACTTGAAATGATTCAATGAAATGATTACTCCATTCATCTATCACGTTTTATTCTTATTGTGTAACAAGTGAGACACTGTGGGTCATTTTAAAGGAAAAGAGAATAGTGGTATAATCCTATTAAAGACATCAGACTATTTAAAAATAGGACAGATATTAACATCACCCTAAACTGTAAATGAATGTATTTGTAAAGGTGTTTTAACTTTCCAGAGTGAAGCACATTTTATGTTGCTGTTTCTTTGCTACACCATCACTATCCTTATCCAGCTAGTGCAGCCTGGTGTATGAGTCATAGGAAATTATATTTCTTGCTTATTAAAGTGGTTTGTCTCAGGAATATTTCAGAGTGTATATTTTTTTCACTCATAAAGATGTTGAGAGAATAACTGGCAACCTATTTAAATGCCCTTTGCTTAAGAGATGTCTATTACATTTGCTGGAGATTTTTTAAAATTTTATTGCCTTTCTAAACTGTTAATTATGTATCGAAATGTATTGCTGTCACCAGTCTAACATGAACAAAGCAATACAGTGAGCTGCCTGAGATATTTCAGCATGGTATTAATTACAAGCATAGTAATAAATGAAAATTCTACAAACCTCTCCAATTGCATTTGTTTGTAACCCCAGTGGATCAATGTTTTATATTAGCACGTGGCAAAAAATACCATTCCAGGAACTCAGCAACTAAATATGATCTAAACCCAGCATCTTTGGGGCAGGGTAGCATTTCTTGGATTTATAATCTCACCATTTGCTCCAATCTGAATGAGCTCCCTTGCTGTGTCTCAGCAATACACCTAGTTTAAGACCATGCAAGCAGCCCACTTTCCAGAAGATGATCAGCAAAGAATGTGTTTTATTCTGATTTGGAAAACTGTCAATCATTGATAAATAAGATCAGATAACTATTACTCTATAAAATTAGCTAATTATATTTGCCTGATTTGCAAGAAGAATAAACAATGTTTCTAAGGAAAATATTGAGGATGATTTACCCAGATGTTATATACAAATTGCTTTGTCATTGATACAGGCAATTGGCTTCAGAAATAAATACAACCATGTAACTGTGTGTGTGTGTGTACATATACACACACATATCTCAGACCTAAATAAGATATACTTAGTCTTAGATTTTTAGTTTATAGGACCGTAGGTATTTGAACAATTCTGAAAACGCCTTTATAGGTGTCAGAGATGGAGGGTTTCAGAGTAGCAGCTGTGTAAGTCTGTTTTCAGAAAAAGAAAAGGAGTACTTGTGGCACCTTAGAGACTAACAAATTTATTTGAGCATAAGTTTTTGTGAGCTACAGCTCACTTCATCGGATGCGTTCAGTGGAAAATACAGAGAGGGAGGGGAATCTTCAACCACATGATCTTCTCTCCAGAGTCCTGTTAAGTGTACTGAACTTAAAACAGAAACAAGAAGTGTGAAATATAGGTTTGAACATGATATGTCAGAAATGTAAAGGTTGTAAGCCTTTTTAGTAACCGATATTAATATTGTATTAAATGTGATGAAAAGGTAGATGTTAGGGAGAGGGGCTGGGCTCATGTGCAATTTTGTCAAGGCTTTATCTGTGATTATGATTCCAGATGTATCTACTCCCTGAGGAGAGGAATGAAGTTGGCATGTGACAGGTGTTTTAAGGTGTTTGGCACAGTTTCCCAAAGTGATGACAAAATCTTCATTTTTATTACAGTGAATCAGTAAAGGAAATACAAATGGGTAGGTCAATGGTTATGTATTTTAGATAAATAATGGATTATTATTTTAGGGAATATAGCTTTCTGTTGATGTCTTTAAATCTTCTATCCTGAATCATCATGCATCTGTCATTAAATAACACTTGAAGTAGTATGATTTTAACAAAATACATAGTTCCTAGATCATACAAGTTAAATATCATGCAGAGGATATGGGAGTCCATGTATGTTATAAAAGTAAATATTGCAACAAGATGTCTCTGCTGCAACTGCTCCTTACTGTTAATCTATTTAAAATCTTGTCCGGAATACTTCTAAATTCTTTAATTGCCATTTTGCTAATCTGGTTACTTTATAAGACTGTACAGTTAAGGCTCAAATGACTGCAGTAAAATTCTTCATAGGCATACACTTCTTGCTTATCATAAACAGACAGATTTTGTTTTAACAAAGCGGTGAAGGTATTTTGTCTCACTGAAAACTCTTGTGTCTAAATGCACATAAAGAGTTTAGATTGGAAAGTTCCTGCCCTCCCCCACTGCCCTTTTTCACTATGTAATAGTATCAGTAATTCTACTCTGACAGCAGGGCACCAAGAGCTGCATTGCCAGGCAAACACTCTCTCATAAACATTTTACAAGTTCCATATCAACCAATCCTAGATGTTTTGGGGGCTGCCCTGATTGGGTGTATTATGGATTTGGTAAACACTGCTGCATAACAAAAATAGGGTTTGTAGTGAAAGACTCCACTAGCACTGCCTCTTCGGAATAATCAGAGACTAAGAATATGACTCAGTCCATATTTTACTTAGTTGCTAACTAAACCTTGTATCCAGCTACAAATATTTAGAGAGATGAGCTGAGTATATTCCTTTCAGTTTTACAACCAAATTTAACCACATCAGAAAGTACTTCAGATTCCTAACACAATATTAGACTCATTTAATGTAAGGAAGTCTCCTTCATTGGTTGTGATTGGGAACATTTTGTATTTTATAGGTGTATTTGAGAGGTTAGCAGTAGGGGGGAATTGTCTGTGGGAAAATCTGTCTACAGTTGAAATTTTTAGATGCAGAAATGTTGCTGAAATGCCTAAAACATTCACATTCTTTCGTTAATCAGTTCATAACAGTATCCTCTTACCTGGCAGACACACATTGGAAATCAAGTTTGTCTGTTTTTAAAAATCAAACATCATTTCTCTTTTCTCTGTCATTTGTCATCTCCAATGACATCTACTTGTTTTTATTTTTTGATGTGCAATATCTGTCCTTTCAAGCTTTTCATTTTCAAGGATTCTACCTGGCCAGGTTTTTGTCACTATATTAATTTAAAAAACCCTAAATATCAGCAACTTTATTTTACTTTATTTTTGCATGTGTGAAAATCATTAGCAAGCCCCTTGCCATTAAATTATGAACAATGGTGTGCAAGTTTTCATACTTTGATTTTCTGTAGGATAATTTTTCTCATAAATAATTAACCTGACTAAATAAAAATAAAGCTTGAGATGCTTTACAATATAATGCAGAAGCTAATTGTTAGAGTATGTGTTGATTTTATACTTGAGATTTTAGAACTTAATTTATATTTCAGTATCAAAGAAAAAATTCATACAATGTGTTTTAAAATGAGAGCTATGGTGCATGTCAGATATGAAATGTGTGGGCTTCATGCAAGCACACTTGCTCACCAAATTTACTTTAAAGCAGTACGTTTAAACATTCATAAATTAAAATGGCAGTTTGCAATCAGATACTGATTACTACTTCATTTGAAATTTGCAAGATATCTGGCCATTTAATATTTATTCTCTATTTCTCTGAACTGCTCTAATTGCAAATCTAGATTTTGCATTTATTTCTCTTTGCAAACACTACATTATTCACCCTTTCTTGTGCTTATTAAACAGTGCCACCTGCACCAAATGAAACAAAGCTTCCCATCAATCTATCCCAGCTGAAGAATCCTGACTATATATTATCATTAATTGAAGATCAATTGAACACTTGAGTGTGAACCAGATATAGGAACCAGAAGAAAAATGTAAAAAATTTTAGGATGTACTTTAAAGAGATCTTTTAATTTAAAATGTTCTTTAAAACAGAGAACCTAACCTTGTACCAAGCGCTCTTCATCAGCTCTGCACTGTGACTCAAGTAGCAATTAGCAGGTCCTTTAATTAATTAACTATTCCCTGTATATGGCTGAGATGTCTGTGGAAATAATGTCATTCTTCATAAGTGAACACCAAATCCAGTCAATATTTTGTCACTAAAAACCTTTATCTGGACTAACCAAATGCCCACCATATGTCTTAGAAAAACAGTTTCAAAATACAGCAAGCAGGTAGGGAAACCAGATGCAAACTTTACAAAACTAATGCGGGCGATTAGAGCGGACAAAAGTACAAATGGAAAGGCTGATACAGATATCATATGTAAGTAAATATGTGCAATAGCAATAAATTATAATGGAGAACTAAGGAGAAAACTGAAAAAATGAGATCATCTTATTGACATATTTATTTAAGTAAAAAGAAATTATTCATTCAAGTTCTGTCACTAAAAAAAATGAATATAGTGCATCCTTTAAAATGTTATGTGCTTTCTTCAATATACTGCTTATCTTGAACATTGTCAGCTCTCAAACAAGCACAGATTAATTAAGTGGCAGTTCAGACACAATAAGGTGAAAGGCCATTTCCAACCAATCAGTGACATTTTGCTAAGTTTATGCTATCTGAAGTTTTCATATAAGTACAAGTGGGGCTGGTTATTTTTTGTGTCATTTGAATTTGGAAAAATATTAAGATATGTTTATATATACCAAATATGAAAATGATTGAAAATATGTGGGATATATTCAATGTGTACACTGTTAATATTTCCATAAGTTGCAGTTTCTGTATATATAAATCTGTAGCTATAGATTTGTGTGTTTATATGTGCATATACGTAACATATCTCTATGTTAAATAAAAAATTTATAAAAAATAGGTGCGTGTTTATATATACAGACACAGAAATACTGAGACTTATTCAAAGCTGAATATTTGTGAGCATTATTTTTAGGTTCATTAGTTTTCTTTATATATAATAACTTTATCTTACAAGATTTCTGTATGCAGAATAGGGATTGTCAATTTACTTAATTTACAGCATAATAAAACTCAAAGTAGACCTCTTATATGATTTTACAAGAATTACACATTAGGCTCTCTCTTTTACCATGTGGAATAATTTGGTTTGCAAAACAAATTTTTTAGCTACAGTAAATTAAAAACCAAAACCAAAAAAATGATACAAAATTATACATTTTGAAGACATTTTAGCTATCTATTGGACATAATATAAATTATTAAGAAACACAAAAGGACAACTTTAAATATTCTGGTTTACTTGCCAAATATACAGATCTACTAACAAAAAGTATGTAATTAGAACCTCTTATAAAAAAAAACCTAAACAGGATTTTTTTGTTTTTTGGTTTTTACCAGAACAAATGAAAATAGCTGGATTTGTCTATGGTTTGATATTCTATAGTAGTGACAGAAATAAAGAATTCTGTTATCATCTATTCTATTACACCAATATTATTGCAAGTGCAGTTAAAGAAATATATTGTGGCATAATTCAAAATGCAAGGAAAGGTGTGAGGACCATCAGATAAGCTATGATTGCATCTCTGTTTTTCCTGTGTAAATCTGCTCTTATCAATTATTCAGCATTTATGTTATACAAAAACTATGTCCTAAATTTTGAAATTGCTGTTTATAATTTACCAATGACAGTAGAAAAGATGAAATTGTAACCTCAGTATTTGGTGTTCTTGTGTAATAATATACAGCACACATTTTCCAATCGGTTTGGCAATGAATCCACTATTTTCATACATCTGTGTCAAACAAAGGTAGACTCTAATGCAATTTCTTACTGTTCATTTCCCTGAATCTTTTGGGATATAAAGAATCGTGCACAAATACTTAACAGTCTGATCAATAACCATTGACCGTTTTGAGGTCCTCGTACCCTAACAAGCACAGCTTGATCATGTATATTTGATCATTGGAAAAATTCAAAGCACCTTGGTATAGCAGAGCAAGCCATTCTGTAGTATCTTTTTTGTTTCTTAAAGACTATATGCACCATAATTTAACTGTATCATTGATGGAAACTTATTGCTCATGTATTTGATGCACAAGATAATTAATTACAATACTATATATGTATCCATAATATTTTTTATCAATAGCAAACATAAAATACTGTTCTAACATTTTAGGAGAGGAAAGTGTGGATGTGTCTATGGATTCAATGGACCCCAGAGTGTATGTGTAAAAAGCCCTATCGTTATAAATCTTGCATTCCTGTTAAGTGTTGGCATGCATGTTACACAGAGGTGTGTTTATTTTAGTGGAAATATTGTCATAAAATCCTTTCCCTTGCTATCTTTTAAAAAATATATGTTCACATACATATAAAATAAATGAATATGAAAGCTCAAGACTGTGATCCTGCTTAATTGTCATGTAGAGATAAAATTCTATAGAAAAATATTTTCTGTGAAAATTTATCATTTCTGTGCAATTCTAATATCTACTGTTTGTAATTCAACATCCAGTGTTTTTCATACAGAAATTTCAGATTATCATTAAAAAAATAACGTTTGTGCTACATAGCTGCCTTTTTTACTCATAATCATAATATTTATTCTAACTTTCTGGGCTTATTATTTTAGACAGATATCAGTTTAATTAGCTTAAGCTGTCATACTCTAATAAATACAGATGGGTTGCCTGGTTCAATAGCATGAAGGTGGTTGCAGATTTCAGAAAGCGGAGATAGTAAATGTTTTACACATGATCATGTAAACAGCAAAAGGACAAAAATAATTACCTGATAAACTTTCCATTTCTGAATTTCCCCTAAATGCTTTCTGACCGATTTTTCTAAAGAAATCCATACAAATTAAGCAAGTCCTCTAAATATCTGCAGCATCTGCTGGTTCAGACACCTTTCTTTATGCAGAGTACCATTTTCATATGATAATACATGTAATATGATATAGAATGACAGAATGCATGACAGTTGCCCATAATACATAGAAAGTCACTCAAAGGACAGAAGCGACATTTGGATAATTAGCATCCATTGGGCAGTCAATCATGCGAACAGAAAAAACTGAACAAAACCCACAATGGAGTTAGAAAACAAAAGGGACCCTAGCCAGTCTCAGGATTAACTGCTCTAAAGCGATCTAAATGCTTTTGTATCTAAAGAACTGAGGCTCCCAGGGTTGCCCTGTTCCCCTCTAGATACCCAGGGAACTAATTGTGGCGATCAAAGTTAAAGCTTTCTCTCTTCTTTATAGACTGCTAAACACACAGAAAAATTATTTCTCCATTCATGTTCATTAAACTATTTTAAAGTTAAAAAATTGGTGCCATGTCCCTTTGCCAAGTGAAATGAGCTGGAGTATTGTGATTGTCCTGCTTTTATACAAATACAACAGCCCACTTAATAAGTATGCTTTTGTTTGGTTAATATTATTTTGCTCTTGCCCAGTTTGCTACCTCTTTTTCCTGAATAATGAATGCAATTGTCATTAAAAACACTTGTGTGGGAAAGAACCTTAAACCAGGTAGGAATAATAATAATAGTAATAATAATCATGTCCATTAACAAAAGTAGCCGGAAAGTTCTGTTAATTCCTTAGCGAGTAATTGCCATTTCTCTGAAATAAATTTTCTCACTCAACATTTGCAGCTCCAAATAATTCATTTCATTTAGCTGGAAGCTGAGTGCAGTCCCCTCCAAAACCCTATCTAACCGGGAAGAGAGAAAGAAAGAGATACAGAGAGAGCCTCAGGATGTGGAAAGTCATGAAAATACCTACCCCGGAGACTGTATTCCCATAGGATCCTCCTCATACAAATTCCAACTTGCCTAATGCCCTTAATGAATGAAATAAAGAGAGATTTCGGAAAGGCCCATGCTGGTGGCTCCTTCAGGAAAGTGTGTGGTTTGAGGCATAGCTGCAGCAGTTCTGGGAGGGAATCGGCTCCGGTCCCTATCAGCCAAGCAGACAGGAATCACTGGGGCGAAATCTTCCCCTCTCACACATTTGCAATTGACTTGAAATAACATCACAACACCTTTGGATAATTGATGCCTTCTTACCTTTCGTTGTCTTTTGCAATTAATAGTTGTAGATCTAGAGGTTTCTCTCAGCCAGAGATAATGGGAAGGTGGAGGGGGAGTGGAGAGAATGTGTGTGTGTGTGTGAGAAACAGAGAGAGAGGGGCGATGCAGTTTTGTGCCTGTGGTAGTGGTGGTGGGGTGTTTGTGTATCTGTGTGTGTGTGTGTTTTGGGGGGTTGTAAACCTCTAAGGTTCTGAAAGGCGACACTGAGAAAGTGAAAGGTACGAAGAGCCAGGATCTCCCTCGTCTCGTTATAGGGCTTCAGCAGCAGTGACCTCCGACCCTTCAGTTCTGTGTCAGCCTCAACCCGAGCTCCCTTGCCCAGCCTGCAAGTGCCAGCTCCAAAGTGTGGAGAGAAAAGAGGGACAGAGAAGGTAGGGAGGCAGAGAGAGATTGAGATCAGAAGGGATTTTCACCCAGTCAAATGGGCCTCTGGTGACAAATCAATCACGGCCTGTTCAAACCAATGATGCTGCCAGTCTTCAGCTCGCCAACCTCTCCCCAACCTCCCACAGCTCTTCCCAGCTTTCCTGCATGACACTCAGCTGATGACTGGGGCTCCAGTCAGAGCAAGGCTGCTTTTTACAGGTTGATTTGGTCATTAGCATCATCTTCTACTCGTCTCCCTTTCTCTCTGACTGAACCTTTAGTCTATTTTCTTTACCAAAATACTGGAAGCTGATACCAGAAGAGTGGCTGTAACACACAGAGAAATACTTGTAAATACATTTAAGTACTGCAGAGTGAAAAGCATCCAGATTTGTTAGATTTTTATTGACTTTAGAAAACTCACTTTTTTCGATAGATTAGTGAATCAGCATATTGTAATCAGAAGCAAAGACCAGAGGCCTCAGAAGTTTATTACCCACTTACACCAGTTTACACTGATACAAGTCCACTGCCTTCAGTTATTCCTGACTTCCATCAGTATAAGTAAGAGATAATGGTCCTGATTCTCCTCTCAATCATTTTTTGTAGGTATTTGCTAAGAGGAATTTTTGAGCCTATTTCCATTTATGGAACACATCCTCAGCTGGTGTAAACTGGCTTAGCTCCTCTAAGTTCCTATGTTTCTAGATATTTTAATGAAAAAAGGAAGATGAAATCCCTTCTCCAAGAAACGTACAGTGTAAACAAAATAAACCACAGAGACCCAAACTGTTCCGTATGATCAGATGGTTATGGTTTGCCAGACAAACCCAATTTTTTACCAAGATAGAATTTCTTTACAATGACAAACAATTAAATTAGTGTATTATTATTAATAATTAATTAATAATTTGCTCTTTGATTAGTGACTTCCATCTGAGGATCTGAAAGTACTTTATAAAACAGTTAAAATGATAAATACTCACATAGAGAAAATTTAAGAGGCATAAACAAGAGCCGAGGACTCTCCTATAGGTCTTGCAGTCTTATGGGTTACTCTCTAACTCTGTTTCTTTCTTTCTGACCCTTAAACACATATGGGGAGTAAAAGTAAGGGGCACACAGAACTTGCATTCAGTTTTTCTCATTCTCCCTAACCCCAAATCTTCTGTTAGAATCTGAAAATTTTTTCCTTGTCTCTGGCAGGTTAAGAATAGGAGAAAAGTCCCTCCTCAACCCTTTCCTGATTTAGTTCCAAGACACTCTAGTTTAGAGATCTCGCATATGTGTAGTCAAGGGAATGTAAATTTTTTTTAGTCCATTTACATGTTGGCTAGCAGTGAGCAACTGGCCAGTTTGACAGTGCAAAGAGAAGGAAGGATGATGAAGATGAGCCCAATGGGACTGAACTCTCCTAGGACAAGACTCAGCAGCATTTTTCAAAATACAGTAACTATTCAATATACAAAAGACAACCCCATCCTTCTCTTCCTTTTAATACTAGCAAACTCTGTGAAACTGAACTGAAATGCATTGCAGATAGCAGTTCAGGGTGCTGAACAGCCTGTAGCTGGAGAGTGCTTCTGTCTTATCTTCAAAGCTGTCCTGTCAAATACAAGGTCTTTTTAACATCAGAGGGATAAAGTTTCTGATTCCAAAGAGTTCGTTTTCCACTTGGTTTTTCTCTAGCAGAAGCCAAAGTCCATGTGACCCCCACATTAAGCTGGCTCCAGGACTGCTGCCCTGATACCTACCCTATGATTTGGGGATGCTTGTGCACAGAAATCTTGTTTTACTCACTGTTGGTTCAATTTCCCTTGCTCTGTCTCTCTCTCCCATTTTATGTGTCTTGAGACTTCTGCCATGGCAGCAAATTGCACCTTGTGAAGTTAAAGAAGAATTGTGGCTGGAGCTTGGAGAGTGTTCATCTGCAGAAAATGCTGAAGTTTGAACGTGTGAGAATTGAGCTAATGAGACATTTTTTTTCTTTTGGTCTCTCAGCCTGTTTATTTCAGCCAGGCTTTAATTGCGGTGTTTCCTGACACAATAATCCTAACTCTTAAAGGTTATAATTTAAGCCTTCACTTCACTGCCTCCACTTCCTCCCACCTCATACCGCACAACAAGAAATGCAGATAATTTAAAAAACATACATCACTTTTCTGTTTTCTTATTGTCACTGAACAGGTTATAGCCCTAAATTTAGTTGATTTTTAAAATGAAAATTCACTGGGTTTTTTGGTACACTTGAAGCTAACAGATCCATGCATTTTAATTAGACTGTCTCTTTTTTCATTTATTACTAATACAATCCTCTTAACTATGATTTATTTGTTAAACAAAGTGCCATAATCCGTCACTTATTCATCTTAATTTCAACAAAATTAAAGTAGTCGCTGTTATATTACACCTAATTGCACTTGCAATGAAAAGAACGGAGATGTTAATCAAAATAAATTGAAGATAAACAATAAAATCATTAAATCTTTGCTGCAGTAAGTGTAACTAATCAGTTTTGACTTGAAGCGACCGAACACAAATAATGAATCTGTCAGTGAAGATGTGCTCATTAAATACAGCCTTGTCCGCCAGGGTCCTGCAGGCAGCCTGTAACACACAGCCCCATGCGACCCTCCAGTGCCTTTCCGCTATTAGGAGAGGGAGTGGGGAGACAGGAAGATAAGGAAATTATATACCATTTCCAGAATTAAAATACAGATATAGACTGCAAGTTGGCTTAGCGGAGATGCAAATACCATAGGTATAGAGTATGCCCTGTGTTTCCCTGTCCAGAGGATGCTGTGAGAGTCACAGTGTTTTATTCAGGAACTGGCCAGATAAAGATTAGAAAAAGAAAGAGAGACCAAGAAGAAGGGTAAAAGGAGGACAGAGACATGATGGACATTGCTTATTAATTCCTTGGAAATGTTAGAA